CGGCGTAGACATGACGGTTCGTTTCGGCGTGGACATACACGCGTATAGCTCAAAATGCGTATCGATAACACGCCACTTGACTTGAAATTGGCGTGTATGTTTACGCAAAGTCATGATGCCATGTTGCTATTTGAAACCTAGTTTGGCTCACATTTTGAGAGAGATTGCAGGTCTTCATTTAAGTTGCTAGGAGAAGTACTTGTGCCTTCTTAGTACTGCATTGCTTTTTCTCTTAACTCTTGTTTTCTCTGGTCATCGTTGAAAATTTGTTGTGGAGACATTGTTTTGCTTTTCTAAGCAACCATTAAGCCTTTTAGTAAAACATTTTGTGACCATTTATAGGATTTTTACCATCCAACAAATGTTAATGTTAAATGGCCCACTTGTGAAGTGATTGGTTTGGTTGTGAGGCTTAGTAGAATGCGAACAGTGAAACGTTCGTTGTCACACTCTAAATTATAAACTTTAAAAGCTGACTGACAAAAGATCACCAAAGCAATTGAATAGAAATAGCATCTTCATGCCACCAGAATCTGTTCAATCTGATCATGAGCACCACGGCCCAAAATCTGGACCATGTGCATCAGTCACTAGGCGAACCAGTGGCATTATTTCACCCCAGCCCACCTTTACTTTTACTGTGCATTTGTGTTGACATAACATCCTTGAGTTTGTGCATGTGACTTGGGATTTCTGATGGCTTTTAAAAGGCTGTTTTCGGTGCCGGTCTGACCCGGGGGTCATCTTGGTGTGATGCCACCTGCAAGAGGCGCAAATGGATTTGACCTCTACGGAGAGCTGGCCATCGACTGACTGGGATTTTAGAATCACACACATCATATCTGGAAAGCCAGAAATGAGGGGCCGAATTATTACACTCAAACACACACACACACAAATTGTTTCATACTTCACAACAGCTTTGGCAGCTGTCAAGTCACATCATATAAAGTGAGATGGAATCCATTATGGACAATCTAATTAGTTTCTGCACTGTGAAGCCCTAACCGGCTGTGTCATTTTAAATGCTCAGCACATGCCAGGGTTCAAAGCGCGTGCCATTCAGAGGGTTTTGTGCTCAAATTACCGGCTAATTCTTGAAGGTCTCCATTTTAAAGCGAAGTGCATTTCGTGATGGTGATCGTAAGTGTGTGAAAGCTTCAATATTGAGTGTCCGCGCATAATATGCTGAATTTTAAAACGATTTTGATTGACGGTATCTTTCTGGTTTGTATTTTTTTTAAAACGCGACTTGAAAACATTTTGTTTGACCCTTACAATTCTGTAAGGTTTTATGGAAATATATCACAAATTGTTTCAGCGAGACATTTTCTCCCAGTAGTATTTCCTGGCAGGCTGTAAATATGGCTTTCTGGGGGAAAAAAAGCCTCTCTGTAACAGAAAGAAATGACCATTATTAACTACCTCAAACTGTGACTTCCCGTGAGTGATACAGTTTTTCCTTTTTTCTTTCTCGGTTGCTGAATTTTAACACTAAAATCTTGCCTCACCTTTGAAATTTTGTGGCCTCTTTGTATTATATTATATTATAGCATATTGACCATACTGAAATACTGTGATAATATTTCTCACTGTTTAAGTAGCGGTAAGTATGCTACAAATAGATTTACATATTTAAATATGTACTTAATATATATATATATTATATATATACTGACATATCAAGCAATATGAATGAATACTGTAACATATGTATTGCTCATTATTAGTGTACAGTACTATAGTTAATACATTAACAAATGTTAACAAATAAGACCTTTTTGCAAAGTGTTACCAATTTATCTTTGTTAAAAAATTGCTGCAAAACTGTTTTTTTCTCTCTCTAATTTCTACTAAACAAAGCACTTGAGAATAATTGTGATGTTCCAGTGAAATTATATAAAGCACCTCTGGAATGGTGTTTATTTTCAGACTAAATGTCACAAATGCATTTCTCCTGAAAATGTCTCATTCCTTTGAACTTTTGCATGAAGGATGTAGAACTCATATTCTCCTTGTACACAAGACATCCGAAACAACATTTCACTTGCTTCTCAAACACGGCAAAATAACATTTTGAGATACGTGTGCTCACTGCTGGCATCATACAGATGTGAAGTGCTTTTACATCTCATGCATTTGCTTTCTCTCAAATGGCATCCGTTGGTCCATGTGTGTGTGTGTTTATGTGTGTACAGGCTGATCTTTTGTCCCCTGCAGTTTTGATCCAGCGTGTCAGAGCAAAGCCCGAGTTGACTTCTGTGTGTCAGCCATTAGAGAGTGGAAAGGAAGAGTGTGAATGGTGACTTATGGCATCCATGCAGAAGCAGCTCTCTGGAGCCCAGAAGAGGCCTGAAAGACAAATCGCTGCCTGCACACATCGCTGCCTGTCCTTGGAGTGCACTGACAGGCAAGCCTGCAGAGAGAAGGCACTGTCACTGCTGCTTGCCACGGTGCCGAGTTACGCATACACAAGCCGCACACACACCACACACTGAGGCTAAATC